ATTTCACTGGCACCTTACTCCCATGAATCAAAGGTCTTTTAATAACAAAGCTTAATATGTGATGATACAGTCTCTAGGCTGACAAATTACAGGCTAAGTTTTTGTATCTACTAGGACACAATCTGGTTTCTAGATTATTAGCGTAATGCAAATAGTACTTTACAAAGCAGTATCCTTTGTTTCCAAATAAGGAGTGAAACAGAACCTTTTTGAAAAACAGCTGCTTGGCTGGGTTTCAGGAGCATAGTTGTTCTTGTTTGGTTGGGAGTGGGAAGTAGCCTCTCAATGCTTAGAGTTGCTCTTTTGCCCAGGATTTACATATTAGGGCTGTCAGAATGACAAATTAATTTTTGTGAACACCTTTAAAAACAACAACAAAAAAAGAAAGCCCAAAACCCAAGGTGCGATGAAAATGAAGTGATGTGTTTTGAGTTTAGCAGCTGCTTCCTATAGCACTTGGAATCTTGGTATTTCACTTTGGGTCCAAACCTGTTTGCTTTATGGTGTCACATTTGTCTCCATGTTTTGGCTGTAACAGAATTTGATAACTCCTCTGTGCCTGTTTCTGCTTGTGAGGTTTTCGTATTTAGAACTGCAAGTAAGCAAAGCCACATGGAAAATGATACCAATATTTATTCCGTATGGAAAAAAAACGGTCTTTGCTGATGGGGTCCTGGTAGAGTTGTTTCAGTAATGTTTGTTCAGTATGTTGTGGAATAAAACGAAAGACATATGAGTAGGAATTACAGGGTATGACTGAATTAAAAAGACAATTTTTTTTTGTTTGTTTATAAAACATTTTTTTCCAAACAATGACAGTATATCATGCTTTTAACAGTAGTTATCTTGCAATCAATTACAGATACATTTCAACAAGAGTCAAACAGTAATGAGAACCCAGTGTTTGCCCTATCTAATGGGACTTATCTTGAGTCAATTGACTTTTTAAACTGCCAGGAGTAGAATTTAATATGATTGAAATGCAGGGAAATTTGGCCTCGATCAAGCAGGCCAAGAGCCAGTGATTTGAGAGTTTTTTAAGTGTTCTGTCTTCAAACAACTACTCTTTACAGGCATAAAACATTGCATGCATTAAAGACCCAGTTTCCAAAAAACAAATGTTGAAATCATTAAGCATTAAAAAAAAGGCAAAAAAGGAGAAAAAAAAGGCAGCATGAAATCTATTCAGCTTTTCTGTATTATATTTATCACTTTTCCAGGTGGTGTGTTTTAAAATGGGCATTAGAACATAGTTGAAAAGAAACATGAAAGGGTCTGCGATTGAGCATCTTGTGCAGACAGTTGTGCTATTTGAGATCTCTCTGTATGACTTTCAAGTCCTTTGTAATTGGGAGTCTTGGTGTGCTCTGGTAGCTATAATATAGGTATATACTTGTGGTATGATACTACCTTCAGCTCTTGAGGGCATGCCTGCTTGAGGAAGCTATGCCCCCTCTCCCTGACCCAAGTGCTCTCTTGGGACTGGGAGACGCTGCTGTTGGCCGATATGGCAAAAGAAACACATTTTCCTCTGGTCACAAATTATTTCCACAAAAGTTCTTCCCATGTTGTGGGGTTAAGAATCAATTTAAAGATTTAAATGAAGACTGCAAGGGAGAATTTAGGGAAGGATAAGTTGTACCCTGTGTGTCTCATCAGCATAGTACTCGAAGACTCAGGATCATAAAAGCACTCTCTGTTTTGTTAAACCTGTGCGATTTGATAACTGTAGTGTTGGAAACCTGTAGAGGAAAAAGAAGTGAAGACCCTACTTTTATGGTAGATTTTGCTAGATTCATTACTATTCCCTGTTTAGTTGCAGCCAAAAGTCACACTTTGATGTTTGCACTCTCACTGCTTCAAAATTCCTTTCCCCCCACCCCCGTCTATTCCAACCCTATGATTCTGTAATGCGCTATTTTGTGCTATAGCAAGTATCGTTGCAACAAACGTACAGTGTTCCAGTTGACTCCTTCACTGTGAAGTGTTGACCCCAAAATTAGAGATCTCTCTTTAGTGGGTGCTCATTGAGATACATGATACAATCATTGCTGTCATGGTAGATTTCTTTTTATTAAACTCTTCTGTGTTTCTTCCTATTTGTATATGTTATGACTGAACCAGGATTGCCTTGAAAACATGCAGGCTGGCAAATGGAAATACTACAGATTTTATAAGGGCCTTGTAAAATGTGTAGAAGAACTCAAATTCCTTTTTAAAATGGCCTGATGGAGACACCAGGCCAAAAATTAAGGAGTCTGGTCATTAGCAAAGACTGACTCCATCAGTATATCATGTAAATCAACATCTGTGGTGGCATTTTGAGCAGATACACAAGCTATTTCTACAGGTAAATAAGAAGATAAGATGGTTCAGTGGAGTGTGGTGTTATATTTGTGTGTCAAGTAGTAGCTTGAAAAGTCTTGGCCGGTGTGATATGAAGTAGAATTTGCTTTTATGGAGCACCTTTTATACTGCAGATACAAGTAAGTACACTAGTGAGATCAGTGGTGAAAATGAAGTCATTTCCTGTTCAAGCAAAACAGATAAAAATGGATGCAGCACTGTTTTGGGTACCCATGACCTCCTGTCTACTTGAAAACAAAAAGAATGAGATGTAGTGTTGCTTTTTCTTTTTAGGAAACGTAAGAGACTGTAACTACTAACTTTCCTGACAAGGGCCTAGATTTAAAATAAATAAAGGTCATAAAAAGCATTCAAGTGCTTTACCTCAGATTCACCTCAGCACTGTTAACACTGGCTTTGAGTCCAAATTTTCCTTGAAATATAGACCTATGATTAGAGGTAAGAAGTGGGGATTTGCTGTAAATACCATATATTTATAGTTTCTGCAACATATTACAAGTAATTTTGGTGGAAACTTGCCAACATTATGGCAAAGGAATCCAACCTCTAATTTCAGTTCTGTATTAAAGCTACTGCCCTTTGCATTGTTTAACTTTCAGCTTTTTACTATACTAAATAGTTTTGGAGCTAAACTCCTTACTGCACTTTCTTCCAATGTGTCTGTTAATTCTTAAATGTGGATTAGCGCTGTAGTGTCTGGTAGTTGCCATAAGAGGGCTTCGAACAGTAAAATTTGTGGAACTTTTCAGGCCTTGATTTACATTGCTGAGAGGAAACCACATTAATCCTTTCCATAATGGAGCATGTGACAGTGATGACTGCTTTTACTCCAGAAGAGGGTCTTTTTATCATTTTAGAATTATGATTAATAAAAGCCCAGATTGCTTTGGACATACTTACTGATGTTTATACAGTCTCTGTCTCTATCACACCCCTAGATTTTTTTCCCCAAAAATTTCATATTGCCCTAAATACTTTTTCTCAATCTCTCTCTCTCTCTCTTTTTTTTTTTTTTAATTTTTATTTCAGCCAGCATATTGTGCCTTTTGTCTAATAAAATGTCAGGATTTTTTTTGCTTATTTCCAGCACCTACTTTGGTAGAAACCAGGGATCTGACTTTCACTGGTTCCCTAAGGGCAGCTTTTTATCCTCCCTAATGTCTTTGTTCCTGTATGAGCTCCTGCTCCTTCTCTTTTGCTGGTAAGGGACTTCAGAGAAACTTTTAATTACAGATTGTCCAAGCCAACAGAAGGACAAATTGGTTAGAGCAGTTATTCTCTGGCTGTGGAATCAGAGATGCTAATTTTGAAGGCGATGCTGTCAGATTTTTTTAGTAATCGTGCTTACTTACAGATCTGAAGACCTGTTTTAATTGGTCTTGTCAGGAGGTTCTGAGAGGTTCAGTGCATTGCCAGCAAGGAATATGGTTGGGCATCTGCTGCTTCCTAAGAGGAAATAAGCACAAGTGCCTTAGTTGTGATCACCTTATCAAATTAGTTGAGTCCATATATTCCCCAAATACTACTTTTCTTTCTTGAGTATTTAAGCTTGTTACTATATGAGCAAAAGTTGCAGCTGATCACTGTACTTGCATTGGTCAGAGTTGTTGCATGTCAATGATATATAGTGAAAGGCTGGTATTTCCTCCAGTGTTGGCTTTTATTCTTTTTTTTAGTCTCTTTCTACATTAAAGTGGCGGTGGTAAGAATAGGTGTTTTAGAAATAAAATAATATCTTCTCTGCCGTATGGTGCAGATAATAATAATCAGACATCTAAACTATTTTGTAAGAGTATATTATCAAAGGTGGAAATATTATCTTATGATGGAAATTAATTTCAAAATGGAAACTGAGATGATGTTGATACTTATTATAGTAATTATTTCCTGCCCC